CCCACCAGGATTCGAATCCAGAAAAATCGGTCGACAGTGAAATCCAAATAAACTTTAACTCCTCTAAATTACTTTTTATGCTTAAACTAATCTATCTAGTGAGAGTGTAGAATACTGCTTAATCATATTTGCACTTGTTCATTACTATTTCCTAAATGAATCGGTCAACTTTATCTTGTTAATATGGGCTCCTTAAGCAGATGGCTTTCATTACTGTCAAGTCTGTGTGGAGGTCAACAGCAATCAGCATCAAAAATAAGAGCCGGATTTTCAACTCAAATGTGAAGTGAATGCTAGTATACACATCAGAGACTTGGCGCCACGTCATGAAGGCCACTTCGAACAAACTACTGTCTTCGCTCATTACTAAAGATCAGACGGCCGGCCAGAAAACATCAGAAACAGGGATCCCTAAGAGCGAACTAACCAGAAACTGACTGTGCAACAAATACGCAGGAAGAAATGGAGATGGACTGGCTGTACTCTTAGAAAACAAACCATGAAGTGACATCACACGCTAGGCCATCGCTCGGATGGAACCAGAATGGATAGCGGCGGGTTGGTCGTAGGTGTGTGGGTGACATGTAGGTAGTGATGTGAAGAGGAGATGAAAGCATGTGGACAGACTTGGAGCCAGGTGAAAACGTTGACAGTGAACGGAACGCGAAGGATACGTGTGGCTGAAGCCCTTTGTTGCTCTAGAAATTAAAGGAAATAATAATAAGCAGATAGCTAAGAAAAAGAACACTGATTATACATCAAGAAGTTGATCTCATTCCTCTGCCAAAGAATGAACTCAAACAGGCGCTAATAATATGTACTAAGGGCATGGAATTTTAGTTCAACAATGTTCTATACCACCAAATTGATGGAATCGCTATGAAAAGTTCTCTACGTCCGATTCTAAGGGAAGGTTTTCTGGGCGACCTGAGATTAACAAGAAGCAAGTCCTCAATTGGTCAGATTCACTTCTGTGCCAGTTATGTCAACGATACGTTCGTCAAATATTAAACATCCTGAAAAGTGTACATCTTATTATAAAGTTTACAATGTACTGTGAAGATAAGAATAAGTTTCACTTTCTTGACCTTGGTATCCAATGTGATATGGACGGTAAAATCGTAAGGTAGATCTACAGAAAAAAGACCTGGAAGGCTATCTATCTGAACTTTAAAAGCTTCTGCCTTATAAGTTATAAAAATGGATTGGTGAGAACACTGATCGTGTGAGAGCTTTCTGTTGTGGAAAAATGCCTGTGTGATATTAGTCACACATATGGAAATTCATCGAGGAATGTGGAGAACTTAGTGTTGGCACAAATGAATTACAGCACAGTAAAGAAATAGTCCATCTTTGTACAACTTGCCTTCAGAGGCGATGATACTGCTAGTGCAATAAGATGCAGACTGAACGCTATTCCGAAAAAGAATATATCCTGCCAACAAGCTTGTATGCGTTTATCAAATAACCGGTTGTTTAAGACAGTTAAAAGCGGACAAACTCCCATCTTATGTACCAAAGTACATACATTGGAAGAACAGACTGAAGAATTATTGTTTGTATTTCTGAACACATACCAAAGAACCTGAGACCAAAGGGCTAGAAAGGATTAAAAAGTGCTATTGTGAGCCATCTATTGGACAGTAGTCATGTTGAGGACAATCAAAACGGCAAAAGAAACCATCTAGCTTGCTACATTTTGCTGAGGCAATCATCAACAAACGAATAAAATGAAGTCTATTTAGGCAGAAATAACCAATGTTGGATCTCGTACTGCCTTGGTGACAACAAAGTATATAAATTTCACTACGTCATCTTTTGTCTTGTTTATTTTTGGTCTGAAAATAACTCACCCTAACCCCCCCCCTCCATTTTCAAATATTTAAGAAAAACAAGCTTTCTGTGGTTGCGTAACCCATCATTTGGTCAGACTCTTTCTAGTTAAACTTTGTTTCCACTTACAAAAATCTGTTGAAGTCTGCTTTCCTTTCGTTTCCATGCATAGTCGTCTATTATTCCATTAAATAGTCAATCCTTTTCACTTTTAATTATTTAACAGCTGAAATCATTCCTGACTAGTTCTACTCTTAGTTCCTGTCATCAGTTACTCCTTGTCATCCTTGTGGGAAAAGGTTGTTGACATCTTTAATTTAATCAATACTTTTTCGTATTTTTCAGGTTACAGCTAGTTGAGAAAAATCCTCGAAATAATAAAAAACTGATTTCATATTATCATCCAGGTAGATTTGTTGTTCTAGCTTTGTTCAAGCCTTGATATTATTCACATTTTAAAATATTAGGCATTACTTGTTTGGCGGTGGTTAACAGTAGAATCTAAGAAGCGCATCTCACCTTATTTTTCGGCAAAGTTCAAGAATAGCGTCCCAGGAGTGCGAACACTCAAATGACCTTGAACGCTTGCTAGTCGTTGGTTGGTTGAAGAAACTTACTATTATTCTTCCGCGAAAATAAACACTGTTCATCTGCTCAGATGCAAATTTCACCCAGATCAGGTATTTCAATATTGTCTGGATAATGGATTAATTGAACGTTCTCGTACCTGTGGTACTTCAGTGAACCTGTAGCCGTATTATCAGGTCATTGATGGATATATATTTAGATGTAGAGAGTGTAGGAAATGAATAAGTGTTCGCACTGGTAAGTGAAACTCTCAGCTCATTGTCTTCAAGGAACTTTCTTTGAAAAATTGAAACTTTCCCTGATGAATATAGTGTTTCTTTGCCATTAGTGGGTTTTGAAGTCCAGTGTGAGGTAAACTGCGGCTCAGACAGAAAATACGTTAACGTCTACTGTGTAATGGTTCCAGTTTTGTCAACATTTAGTGTCGTGTAAAATGAATAGTATTACTCAAGTGTTGGAAGGAGTCGGTGTAGTCGTTCATATCGATGAAACAGTGCTTATAAAGAAGAAATACAATCGCGGACGTACTAGAGCTAATAACGTTTGAGTATTTGGAATTTAAGACACCCTAATTATTCGGAAAGGATTCATTGAACCTTTTCCAGACAGGTGTGCCGACACTCCTCTGTTTATTATTCAGAGGGTCGTTTTGCCAGGCACTTCCATTTACATAGATGAATGGGCAGCATACAACCGATTATCGGATTTAGGATATATGCACCATCGAATGAACCATTCTGATGACTTCGTCGATTCCAGAATGAATACTCATACGAATTCAATGAAAGGTTTCTGGGGAAGACTCAAAAATAGAATAAGAGCTATAAACGGCTCCCAAAATCAAGTTATTTTTAGTCATCTATATGAATACATGTGTAGGAATTGGTTTAATTTAAAACTGACAGTCCCAGTTATAATCGAGACGTCTTTTTACCTCATATTAGACAAAAATACCCTGTTTAATGTTTTTTCACGCTTTTTTTATGTAAATATCCCTAATCTTTTGTGCAAAAATCCTCTACTTTTTCTGATCGGTCGACTCAAGGTCACTCGTGAGTTTGCATCCCTTTGGGACGCTATTATAGAACTTTGCCCATTTACCTACTCCCTAGTGAATGACGGTATACCCACTTATTCCCATGCCCTATGTCCATAGCATTCATCTCATCAGGACATTTTCTTAGATAAGATTGAAATATACCATCTCAGGGTGAAGTTAAACAATAGCGTCCCAGGAGTGTGAACTCTCCAGTGACTTTGAACGCATGCTAGCCGTTGGCTAACAGCATCTGTTGTTATCATAGCTGAAACATCAAGGCTATTCATCGAATTAGGGGAAAATTTCACAGAAATCACGTTTTTAACTACTGTTTGGACAATGTGTAACTAGGTCGTTAAGGTTAGGATTAGAGTTATAATAGCATTAGGGTAAGAATCACGGTTTGAATAAGGGTTATGATTAGGGTTAGGATCGAGGTTAGGATTAGTGTTGCGGTCAGGATTAAGCTTATGGTTACGATTAGGAATAGATTTACAGTTGATTTCACTTATTTTAATTTTTTATTATCCACGTTTTCCTGGTAAGTAGTTGTGTATCCTCTTGCTAGGAACCATAATAATTCAACAGACGTCTTTTCTGGAAGACTGCATGCAGGATGAGAGAGATCAACGACTCATAAAAACAGTTGATCTGTAGTCATCTCGGTGAATACATGTGCAGAAAATTAGTCTAACTTAGCAACTGATACTCCTCGTTACAACTAATTTTAATTAATTTATTTTAATTTTTGGTAACAGCTTGATTCCACACTGTATTTTTGGTACAAATATGGAATTTTCAGCGTGGATATCGGTAGCCCAAATTTCGCAGGCCGACCATAGATATCTGGTGTGCGCCGGTGTGGGCTCGAACCCCGGACCATCTGCATGGTCGTCGAGAGTCCTAACCATTGTGCCACCGGCACACAAAAAGGGAGGACCGTGAGGCCTCGCCACTGACAAAAACTACACGCCCGAGCGCACCCGATTAGGGTCCGTCGGGAGTTTCAACTCACTGAGGTGCAATGGTGAGCCTTCACCCGGGGTCAGAGCATTCTTGATCACGCTGAACCCAGCGCCAGGATGTATTTTGAGGCCATGTCAGAAAAAATAATCTGATTAGTGCGTTTTCAAGCATTTTCTTGTCAATATACACATCATTTTTTGAGCAAACATTCATCATTTTTATGATTGGCCAGCTGAAGGTGACTTGTGTGTTCACATTCCTGGGACGCTATTGTTGAACTTTGCCCATCCTAGAAATACATCAAGTCCTACCCACTGCATAAGAGGTGCCTCTTGTGGCTGAATAGCCCAGCGGATAACGACTTGATATTTGAAGTGGTGTGTACTGAAACCAGCATCATTCACTGGCCTACAGATACATCCAGAAGACCAGCCTCAAATAGGCCGAGAGGCCTGTCCTGTATCCTGCTGCCAGCCACACCAAACTAAGAATTGTATTTAAAGGTTTCAAAGAATTACAGAAAAAAGACATTAAAGTATAAAATACACTTCTTTACCAGAAAAGAAAAACAAACCTTTTTAAGTGAATAATTCCATTGTCCAATTCTTTGTCATCCATTTTATTTCTTTGTTTCAATGTGTTCAATTTTTTAGGCGGTAATTTAAATTTAAACTTTATACAAAACATGATGATAACTGTAGATACCAGAATTAGACTTGTTAATATGTATAGATTGGATGATGTGAATAAAATTAATCCCTGAAAATGCCAAGATTCATGCTTAGTGTTCATTTTTATAAGCGTATTATTTTTGAGAAATAAGCTTTCCAGTATTGTTAAATTCCTTCATCTAGATCCATTCAATCGACATTTTTAAAATATTTTACAGTAATTTGAATGACTCCAATATCTTCTTTTATGGTTATATAATTTCTCATTTATCCAATTCGGTCATATTCACATAGTCTGGTTGTAAAAATTATCGTCATTAGTAAATTGTTTTCGTCTTGTTATACTACTAATAATAATGACAATAATGATAATAATATGTAACTAGCTATTAGGTTGCCAAGGTCACAGCGTCTCTCTCTCTCTCAGCCAATCAGACTACAGCAAAACAACAAGGATAGACTTAAACATTGAAACATTGATGAGACATTGAAATTTCATATATGCATGAAAACCAATGTGAAAGACCAGAGAAGGACAAAAAAACGGAGAATAAATAATTCAATTAATTCATTTGAGACAAAATAAATAATTATTATTGAAAAAAGAACGACAAGATTAATCTGTTTTTGTTTGGCATAAAACACGTAAATTGCAAGCGATGTGTATAGAAAACAAAAAATAGATAAATCAAAATAGAAATTTTAGAGAAAAAAAACAGTATTTTTTTGAGTTTTAATTATCATGAGAATATTTTACTGGCTGTATAAATTAAAATTGTGTACTTTGTACATTTGACTTTGTTCTAATGCGCATCTTTACGCAGTCAATAAAAAAATGATCAATTAAGCATGCGAGGACGTCTGGAATTCTAATCACGGCTTCTTGCTCAAAAGAGAAATAAACTCACACTCACATTAGACAGACGACGGACATGGGTAGTATTCTGCAAGACAGGAGAGAGAGGAAATCAAGCATGGAAACTGAGATGTGTATCAATGAAACTATAGTCTACAGATCTGAGACATGTTTTATGAGATGAAGGGATGTTGTTCTGCTTAGATTAAAGACAAATTAAAACACTAAATTCATCATCCAAAATATAAGATTTATTTTGGGATCAAGATCTCAGGCCTGTGATGACTGCTAAGCTATCTAGGAATCGTGTACAGACGACAGGACTTAAGAAAACAGCGTGCTGAATGGCGTAGATGTTTGACCACAAGTTTTCAACTTATGCGTTTAATTTAATCGTTGGAAGTTAGCACTCAGTATTGAGTGAATAATGCTGTGGGCCCAAAGTTCTGTGGAGTTATTTACCGCTATACATGAAAGTAAAAGTAGAAGTTTATGATATATTTTTTTATTTATATTGAATTCGTTCATAGATTAAGATAAGTGTTTCATAACAGTCAAACAGTAACATTCAACAGTTATACAGTGTACATATCAGTTTTTAAACCTTTATGCACGCGAAATTAAAATTAACCAAGAATATTTGATTATCGTCACTTTCATGATGATTCATGATGAACTGAAGAGATTTAGCCCACACATTTGAAGATATCACATTCGCGATAGAATCCACGAGTCATTATCGGACCCGTACGTAGGGGAGACTATCATTCATAAGAATGAATATCGAAGGTGTCAATCTAGTTGAAGATTGAACGACCAATTCATGGTTGTTTGTTCAAACTCAACTCCATATTTTGGCGGGAGTAAACGATACTGCAGTCATCGTTCCATCGTTTGCTGTTCGGGAAGGAGACGGACAAATACTATTAGAAGTGTTATTGTGATTAATTGTTATGATATTCTTTTTTAGAATTTGTGTACAATAACCTTATGGTTGGTTATATATTGGTGCAAGAATAAACGGTTCTTGAGTCACCAATCTGTGTTCTGCTATTTCACGTTGATTATTGCGCATAGTTACTGAAAGTCTTCTAAGAACAGTGTGAAGTTCAGTGTAGTTAGAACTGGACACTTGACAAAAGGTATTTATGTATGTATGTTTAAATGGTTAAAAATTAATTTTGATTTAAAATTTGTAACATGACGTAATTTAAGTTATTTTATTAACTGATATAAGAATGTAACTTGAGCACTGTGGTAGAAAATAATTCCATTGTGGGTAAAATTTATTTTGATAAAGTCTCACAGTGGTGTTATACAGTAATATTCACTGATGAACACGTTTCTAGTACAAATTATTGCCGCTTATAATCATATCAATACATTACTCACACAACTTTCTAACTTCGTTTATATAATTCCATTATTTTTCGTCACTTGATTTGATTGGTGGTAGCATTTTCCATATTTCCGGTGTGAGTGATGACGAGTCATTCCTATCGCATGTGTTGAGTGTAGACTCGATGAACAAGGATTCAGTAATCAACCATCTCTCTGTCTCCACCTACATATATTACTTCTTAGAATTTTAACACTCTCCCACCCTATTGTGTGGTTGTGTGTTAGCGCATGCATTGTAATTGTTGAGCTTTTTTCTAAATTACTTATCTTCTCGGGGTCAACCATTTTCACCTTAGTTAAATTCTTATGTTCTGACAATCTGACTACCCCTACCCGATCTACTAGTTTGACCTATATAGTTTACCTCACTCACAGTAATTGCAATGCATTTTGTAAATAATATTATTTTTCAAGTGTTGGTTTTGTAGGGATTTGGTTTGATTGTATGGAGGATTTAATCATGACTGACATCAGTTAGAGAACCACTGGAAAACCACTGGAAAAAGCAGGTCGAAGATGAGGCAGTAACTCATCGAAGAAGACATTGCGAAGTGGTCGCGCTATATCGTGAATTGGCAGAAGTTAGAATTCAAGAACCATTGGATCGGGTCCCAGTGGCTCAATGGTCTACAAGCTCACCTTGTAACCAGAAGGTCCTGGGTTCGAACCCCGGTGGGTACGTACTGATGAGGAGTCCCAAACTAGGACGAAACAGCTGTCCAGTACTCCCAGGTTTTCCAGTGGTTCTCTAACTGATGTCAGCTCATGATTAGTCCTCCATACAATAAAATTATTTTGTCTAACTGAGTCAGCTGGGTCCTTTAACCTACAGATCTTGTCCCTGAGTGAAGTTGTAGGTTTAAATGCCACTCTAATTCCTGCTTTATTTATAATCCTACGTGGTGAGGGTCTCAGATGTCCCCTATTCATATGGTATAACTGTAGATGCCTTATATTCTCCCTTATTTATGTTATCATTACTAGTTTCACAATTATTTTTAGATATGATAGAGAAGATTTGTAGCTCAGGTGGATGATTTTGATGTGGTTTTGTTCTCTGAGCTGGATGGTGAATTTGCGAAGCTTTCATCACCCTACTGGGTGACATCTTCAGCGCATACTTCAATTTGAAGTGAGCTTTTAGATTTCTCCACGAGTTTATCAATCATCTCTCCTGGTGACAACCAATCACGTCCAAGGTCACCAGGAGAGATGATTGATAAACTCGTGGAGAAACCTAAAAGCTCACTTCAAATTGAAGTATGCGCTTAATATGTCACCCAGTAGGGTGATGAAAGCTTCGCAAATTAACCATCCAGCTCAGAGAACAAAACCACATGAAAAACAATTATTTTTATTTTGCATTTGGCCTTTTCTGATCTTCCTAACGAATTTTAAAAAATAGTCAATTGTTTAACACCAACGCTTCTTCTTCTATCTGTTTTATTTCATCATTTAGGTCTTTTCTTGTACTTTGTAGTGTAACTGCTCGGTTTGTCAGACACTTAACCAAGTGTGCCTTAATAGTTAACGGATAAAATGGAATTACTTTACTAACCTCTAAGTACCCTCCATCAATCAACCTGTAGTGTTAAAACAACTACACAAATGGCACTCACTTTTGGAAGAATTGTTCAACATAAATGAAGAGGATTAATATGGTGGTTGGGATTAATACTGAGGTGGTACCAGTCAACAACAATGCACCTTTAACACTTTCGCAGTAGCTTACCTTGGCTTCAACTTGTAATTCAAATAGTACAATGGAAATCAGTCATGTAAAAATGATGGCCGAGTAGTAAGCCTTTGGAAGAAAGGCTGAAATCTGATCAGTCGTTTATGTAACTAACAGAGAAAAGAAAATCAATATTTACACTGTTTGAATATTGACTAGTGAACTGTTGAGTTAGGCTACAGCTGCGCATAATAAATATAAAAGAAAAGGCGAAGAGTTCATCGAAGAGTTACCCTTTCTGTGATGTCATTCTCAAGTTGTACAATCGCATATATATGCATAGTGAATTCTCTTAGCAACAATAAGAATATTTAGGATACAATTGGTGGATGGTGACTAGCAGTGGAATCGAGGATGCGCATTTCATCCTCTTTGGGACTCGTCAGCTAGATGTACCTGCATTTCTCAATGAGTGATGATGTTCCCACCGAGGCTCGAACCCAGTGCCCATAGTTTCGAACGCCAAAGCGTTATCCACTAGACCACTTGGGCCACGAGAGCCACCTCTTGTGCAACGAGTCATATTAATTATTGAATTGGATTTTTTGATTTTCCCGTCGACTGATTTGACCGAAGTGCTCGGTCTCAGGTTGACATGTTGACATATTTCCAAAGATTTTTCGTTAGATTTGTAAATTTTAGATAACAAATTACCTAATGTAGAAAGCGTCAAAGATTAAATAAGCAAGTTGGGTAGCGTAATCTAATTAACGGAGTTGAGTAGAGCTCAGCTAAAATTATAATTGAACCAAATTCAAGTTAACAAAAGTGGTAATAAGGAGTAGGCCTTCATTCGATAAGAAAACAATCAGTCAGCACCGTAGATTAGTAATCCATTAGAATTCATTGTATTCCACTGCTAGACCTTCACAACCAAACGTCATCATGTTAATCTTATAGCATTATCAAAGCATTCGTAATTGGAGGCGGCGTGTCAGCAGAGACTAGATATTTTGATTCAATGAGCAACAACTAACAGGAAATTCAAAATGACTTCATTAGAATATCAAGTGACATCTACTCGGATATGAATCAGGCTTCAACGGCATCTTACAAGAATTTAATCATTCCTATCCTTCGATTAAATTCTCCACAATGGGATTAGAAAACGATTCAAAGATTCCATTCC